CGCGCAGCCGGCGGGGAGGCGGCGCCCGACGGGCCGGCTTGCGGCGCCGCGGGGCGAGGCGACGCCTGAGGTCGCGGAGGGCTCTCCCACATGTCCTCGGAGCCGGAGCCCGAGTCGCCCCTCTCCGACCCGCCCCTCTCCGACCCGCCCCTCTCCGAAGGCGGAAACATCGAATTCGGAAACATGCCATCGTCGCTATCCGAGAGGTCGTCCAGTTGATACTGCACATGGACGCCCCTGTCGCCACTGCCAAGCCCGCCGCCGCCGTCGCCACCGCCGTCGCCGCCACCGTCCCCGCCGCCGCCACCGTCCCCACCGCCGCCACCGCCCCCATCAAAGCCTGCTCTAAGCACGGCGTCCGGCCGTCCGGCCGTGGAGGCGCCCCCGCTGCGGTCCTTGGGCGGCGATGACGCAGGCCCCCGCCGCCTGTTGGTGAGGTCGTCGCCGAATGACCGCCCACCACATCCGCCGCCGCCGCCGACACCGCCGCTCGACGGCAGCCCCTCACCGCCCTCGCTGCTGCCGTTGCCATCGACGGGAGCAGCGCGAGCGGCGGCTGCTGAAGCGAGCGGATCGCCATCGCCGTCGCCGTCGCCGCCGCCACCATCGACGCCGCCGCCACCATCGACGCCGCCGCCGCCGCCCACACCGCCCCTAGGCAGCCCATTGCCGCCACCGCCACCTCCGGGGTCGACGAGGTCCTCGTCAAACTGGCCAAGAGCGTCGGGAGCGGCGACCCCGCCCGCCTCGCCGCTCGCCTCGCCGCCCGCGTGTGCAAACCCGAGCGCTGCCGCCGCCGCCTGGAACTTTGCCCGGTCCGTCTCGTCCTGCACGTCGTTGGCGTTAAAGATGGCGGCCGAGGACAAGGTGATGTCTCCATCGGCGCACTCGATGCCGTCGTCGTGCTGCGCCGCCTCCTCTGGCGAGCGGGCGTTGGCACGCGTGCCGGCATAGTCAGAGGCCGCGACTGCTCGCTCGGCCCTCTCGTCGGTCGTGTGCACCGCCGTCCGGCGAATGCCATCGCTCGCGCGCTTGGCCGCAGCCTGCACCTCGGGCCAGACCGGCGGCGGAAAGTCGCCCTTGACCTGGACGCCGAGATCGCGCGCCCAGGTCGCGACGGCAGACTGTACGAGAGCGTAGTTGTACAGCACGTGCGGCCGCACCCTGCAAGGCCCGAGCCTTGGCAGCGCGCGCGCCTCGAGCGCGCCGCGCTTGTTGTGCGCGTCGACAAAGTTGACTCGGAAGGCCGCCATCACATCGTCCACCCTGTCCGAGGAAAATATCTGCCCGAGCGCCTCGGCGCGCTGCTGCATAAAGGCCACCATCGACCCCGAGAACTTGTAGACGCCTTCCTGTGAGCGCCCGCCGCCCTGCGAGTCCGGCACCACCTTCACCAAAACGCCGTATAAGCGCTCATCGGCTAGCATCATCTGCTCGACTGCCGAGGGCGTCTCGTCCATGCCGAGCTTGTCCATGCCGCCAAAGTCGACGCCGCCCATGAGCGAGCGGCGCGGGCGCAGCGCTCTCACCGCGTCAACAGTGAGGGAGCCCGTGGGCGACCTCGCCGCCGCCTCGCACGTCGAGCACAGCCTCGCCTCGGCGTCCACCACCTCGCCCGTGTCATCCAGCACCTCCTCGACAAGGTTGGGGTGCAGGTGCCATCGGTGCCGCCGCCAAAGCTGCGACGAGGTTCGGTCAGGTTCGCCGCTAGGATAGAAGGCCCTGGCCTGGCCGAGCCAGACCGGCTCTCGCGCCAAGCCGTCGGCGCCCAAGAGTTGGACGGACGGCAGGGCGGCGAGCTCCTCCTCGTCCGGCTGATCAAAGGCGAGGCAAGAAAGGCCGTCTTCAGCCTCGAGCACGTCGAGCTGGGAGAGGCGGACGGCTCGGCAGGGCCGCTGCGGGTGGCGGACGCCACAGCCGGCGCACGCATGGAGTGGCTTGGACAGGTTGGTCGTGTCACGCATATCGCCGAAAATCCTCTCTGTATCCCCCGGCGTGACGAAGCCCGTGTCGACAATGCAGACGGTGGCCGCGCGCACCGCGTCGGACACCTCCGCAGCAAGCTCGTCGGCCGCCTCAGCGAGGACGCGCTCGACAGCTCGGGCTGGCTCTGAAAACTCGAAGCCCGTCGCCCGGTTCGCCCGACCGAGCACCTCGCGCGCCGCGTCGTCGCCCGGAAGCAGCAGCTCGTGCGCCGCGTCGTCGTCACCCGCCTCGCCCACGCCGCCGCCGCCGCCACCTACGCCGTCGCTGCCGCCGCCGCCTCTGCCTCTGCCGCCGCCTCTGCCTCTGTCGGCGCCGCCGCCGCCGCCACTGCCGCCGCCACTGCCGCCGCCACCGCCGCGACGATTGCCGCCGCCACCTCCTCCGCCGCCACTGCCTCGGATCGCCGCCACTCCTCGGATCGCCGACACTGCCGCATCTAGTGCAGCTTGCTGCTCCACGGAGAGTGAGCGACCGGCGAACCGCGAGTAGGCCTGATGACGCTGCACGCCATTCTCCGTAAAGTACACTCTCAAACCGCCTGCGAATGGCTCAACTCTGTCGACATGCATGCCAGCGACGGAAAGATTCGCTCGGATGGTCGCTGCGTTCGCGCCTGGTCGCTGCGTTCGTGCCTGGTCGACGTTACAGGTTTTGAAGTAACGTGAGGTCAGAACGGTTGATGTTATTTCATCAGCCCGGATAAGCGATTCAGACAAAAAAGGAAAAACAGACCTTCGGGTTCGCCTTCCTCGACCAGCCCAGCGCTCTGCCAGCGCGTTCGCTCCTTGCTGCTGCCGCGAGAGCGGAGGCGAGTACGTCGCCTCGCTCTCGCGGCGAAGCAGCTGCCGCCGCCGAGACGCGAAGCGGCGTCTGCTGAGGAGAGAGAGCCAGCGCGGCGGTCGCCGACGCCGCCTTCGAGCTGTGTGCCACCTCTCGCCGGCACGACGGCTCTGCGCGGCAGGAGCATCAGCAGCAGCCGCCGCACCGCCACCCGCCTCGCAGCGCTCCGCCGAGCGCGCCGTCGCTGCCGTGGCACCGAGGGCCGGAGCCCGACTCTCGTACAGTCGAGCGGCTCCGAGACGAAGCGCTGACACACACAGGGCATGCCGCGCAAGGAACCGCGCCTCGAGGCCAGCAACTGCGCGTGCGTGCCGCGCGGTCCTTGGTGGCGCGAATGTACTGTGCATCGGTAGACCTCATGCGTGCGTGTGCGTTCATCACACAGACTGTGAGTCACAGTCAGTGCGACAGCTAGAGTGTGGTGTATCTTGTGTTCGCAAAGAGAATGCACGCGTCCACACGCACACATGCACACACACGCCGACCCGCACGCACACGCGTACCCGCGCACTCGCGACTGGCGACAATCCAGACTCCGCGCGCGACCGAGAGCGAGGACCGAAGGTCACACTCAGCCACGAGCCAGCCCTCTCACACACTCACACCAGCACGCCGCCCTCATCCTCGCACGGCTCCTCGCCGTCCTCCTCCATGCACGCCACACACTCAAACTCCGCCGCGCAGTCCGCGCAATCGGGGTCGGCGCACACGCGAGAGGCAAAGGCGCCCGGCGTGGCGGCCACGCTTGCGGCTGCCGACGGCAGCGAGGCGTCGTCGATCCCCGCGCTCTCAGCCGCCGCCGCCGCCGCCCAACCTGCCGCCTCCGCCAGCGCCTTCTCCCTCGCCGCCCTCTCTGCCGCCTCAGCCACCGCCTCGGCCTCCGACCCTGCCGCCGCATCCGCCGCGCGCGCGGCACGCAGCCGCTGCCTAAGCTCCTGCTTGTGCGTCTCGGTGAAAGAGCCGCTCCGCATCAACTCTCGCGCCGCCTCGTCCGCCATCGGGTAGAAGTAGTGGACGTCCCACTCGTAGGTGCGCGCGTCGACCCACGCCTTCTTGCACGGGTCGTCGGCGCCGAGGGCGCGCGTGTCTATCATCTGAACGAGCTGCGCGTCGAAGCAGTCGCGGCAGCCGCCGTAGGCGCCGCCCTCGCGCCAGATCGGGTAGCGCATCTTGCAGCCGCACAGCCAGCCGCGCTCCGCGCGGCTCTCTCGGAGGTCGCTCTTCAACTTCTCCTCGATGAAGCGGCGCTGCTCGGACGACTCGAAGTTGACCTCGTCCGCGGCGGTGCCGTACTCGCCCTTCTCGACGAGGCCGTCGATGAAGTCGTCGCACTTGTCATCCGGGATGGTCTCCTCGAGGCGCAGCCGCGCGTGCAGCGACGCGAGGAGGACCGCGTGCACCTCGGCGTCCATCTTCTGCGCGGTGAGGGCGAAGCAGAGGCGGCAGGTGCGGAGCTCCTTGGTCGTGTACCAGTGGTCGAAGCGCGAGGCGTGGGAGTACGTCGGCCACGCGACGCTCGGCCAAAGGGAGATGGCGGGCATGCAGTGCTTGATGTAGAGCTGCTCGAGCTTCCCCGCCTCCTTCCGGCCGTCGCGCGCGATGTTAAAATTCTCCTTGAAAGAAAAGGCGCGCCGGCCCTCCTGAGCGTGCGCGGCGTGGAGGGTCGGTGCGGGTGGGAGGGGTGGAGGTGAGAGCGGGGGTGTGCGCACCCGCTCGTCGCGCCGCTGGATCGCGCGGAGCTCCTCCTGGATGTCACCGCCGACGTTGGGCGCGTGCGTGCCGGAGCCGAGGTGGACGGTGATGCGCTGGAAGTGCGCGTGCGCCTCCTTGTCGCGCGCCGTCTGGTCGGCCTTGTTCTTCGCCTTTCGCGCGCGCTGCAGGTCGGCCTTCTCCTGCGCCTCCATCTCCAGCATCTGCTCGCGGAGCTTCTCGCTCGAGAGGAAGTACTCGAGCCTCTCCCGCCGCTTGCGCCGCGCCGCCTTTGCCGCGAGCGGCGCCTTGCGGTTGAGCTCCTCTCCCTTCGGCGGCTCGTAGGCGTCGGCGAGCAGGAAGTCGTGGAGGCGCGCCTCGAGGTCCCATTCCCTCTCCTTCTCCAGCACCGGCCACAGCTTGCTGCCGTCGTCGAACTTTTCGTACTCGAGCAGACACACGTCCTCGAGCGTCGGCTCGCGGCGTCCATTCGCCTCCGCTCGCACATAATGGTGGTAGCGAGGGAGGTGCAGCGGCGGCAATTTGTACGACTCATACGGCTTGTCGTCGAGCGCGGCAGCGAGCGAGGCGGTCTCCGCGAGGCCCGTCAGCTCCAGATTGCGCTCGCGAGCCTTCACCACCTCGCCGCTGCCGTCCAGCTCCACCTTCCACCGCTCACCGTCAACTCCCGCGAGACGGCCCACCTTACCGTTGAGCTCGGTACGGCTCGCGAGGTCGCGCAACGCGACTCTCTGGCCTTGAAGGCGACGCACCTCTTGCGGCGTGCGGCGCATGGGATGGGATGGGATGTGCAACGACCAGTCGGAGATTGAGCGCGAGATGTTGTTCACACCTAGATCAACCCTGCGGGAGAACTTCACGGTGGTTCCGCTAGACGTCAAGAAAGACAGGACGCCACACACCAGTGCCAAAAGGCGGCCAGCCGCACAAGTTGACTTACACAAACACCGAAGCTGCAGGCTGTGGCTGCAGCCAGCACAGCGGACAGACAGCCCCACAACACACGCCTCTCCACGCACCACACGCTCCGCCAAGCGCGCCTCGCCCCGCAACGCGGCGCGCAAAGGCGCCGTGCACGTGCACGATGGACTGCCGCCGCTCCGGCACCGACGGCCCGACCGACTCCACCCTGAGCCGGGTGCCTGCTCGGCGGCGTGTGGTAGGTGCGGTGGGCGGCGGCGGGAACGGAGCCGCGGCTGGAGTGAAGGGCGAGCCGCCGCCGCCGCACCACCACCACCAGCGACGATTGTTCGCGGCTCGCCCCCGCCGCCAGGCGCCGGATCGGCAGTGAGGCTCGCGGCGGCGCAGCGTAGGCGCGCCTAGAGCTCTCACCGGTCGCCTACAGGCGCGACCTCGACGAATGCGCCGCCATGTGTTGCGCGAACACCGGTGACGCCGCGCTTTGCGGTGGGGGCCACCCCTCGT